ATGTAAAGGGAACATTTTGAGAGAAAAGAGTTACACAACTGGGATTCCCCTGAGTAGAAGGCTGGTGGAGGAAGACATGGTTCAGACGAGTGATTTACCACTTCAGGTGCTGAGAACATTGGAGGAGAAGACGTGGCTCCCGGTGTAAGTAGAATCATGATTTTGGTGTAACGAGTACAAAAATAAGGAACTGGATCCAAGTGTAAGTGAAAAAAAGTTTATCGACAACAGTAGCAGTTAATTAATGTAAAAGCGAAAACACAGTCTCTAGCTGTGGCAATATGTCATAGCTAAAGGTGCAACCAAATCTTTCCCAGAGAAGCAGAAAACGTGCTCCAGAGACCATAACCTGTCCAGCACAAAGGGCAATTCTGATGAGAGACAAACATTGACATAAATGATACCCCTTCTCCTAGAAACCTCCTTATCTGCTTACCTGGCAATTTTAATTAGCAATAATTGAGTGGTCCAATATATCTCTTGCAGACACCCAACTCTTGTCCTCCGAACCATAATCTTCCCAGTCCACCAAGTATGGGAATTCTCATCTCCTCTCTCGTCCCCATCTGAGACACGGCAGGAAGGAACCGGGGTCGGGATTAATGGACGTATGAAAAACAGGCTTTAATTTAAAAACATGAAATACATAATGCATTCTCTTGTACACTGAAGGAAATCTGAGGCGGACTGCCACCAGACTAATGATCTTGGTGACAGAAAATGGGTTGATAAATTTAGGAGCAAGTTTATTACAAACAGTATGAAGTGAAATGTTCTTGAATGAAACAAACCGAAGGCTTAGATTGATGGTGATCGGATTTACCCTTGTTGCATGCACCAATCTTGAGAAGTTTTTCTGGACTTGCTCCATGTGCATTAGCACTTCTGGACAAAGACTATATCAGAGGGAACCGTGACTTTAGTATCCAGACTGGGAAAAAATGGGTAGCTGGTACCCTAAGCTACACTGAAATAGAGAACAGACACTGGAAATGGGTTATGTGCCTACTCAACCCATGAGGGTTGCTGGCTCCAGGAGGTCAAATTCTGAAAAATCAAACATCACAACATACATTTGAGATCTTGGTTAGCTCTCTCAGTTTGACCGTTACTCTGAGGCTGGAAACAATATGATAGACTAAGGGCCTATTCACACTATGCCATCCGTACCGTGCCCAGGCCCGTTTCCAGGATCGTTTGAGAAGTGTGAGTGCGCTGAATCGGACTCAAGCACGGTTCACCTGGCCAGCCCTGGCCCGGTTGGAAGAGGTGTGTCTGAGCGCGGTTCACTTGGGCTTTGGCACGGTACGCTTGTGTGTGAGTGCAAAATGCACCAAAACCCGAAACTGAAAGCGAGACGTGACTTTTAAGGCACTGTTTCATATGGATTTATTAATAATTCTTACTGTTCAGTGAACGCAAACTGCCTTAATTTATTAAGGACGCAAACCCCTCACTGCACGACAGCTGTGCGCCTTCAGCAGACCTCCTCATTCCTGCAGCACGAGGGCTTTATGATTGTTTATGAGCGCCAAAAGTGTCGGATCTGTTCGACGAAATATCTGACTGCAAGTCCCCACATCCCTAAGGACTGTTTGGCGAAATATTTGACTGCATGTCACTGCATAACAAACGACTTAAACAATACAACTAGAGAAATCTCCACTGTGCTGCTGAGTGAGAGAGCGCTTCCCACTGAACAGCACAGCAGCAATGACGTAAGCGTGCCGAGGCCCGTTTGTGGTGTGAGCGCGGGCCGTTGGGGGAGACGGGAGGGGGGACAAGCGTGCTTTGGCCCGGTTCGAGGCAACTGTACCTAGTGTGAGTACGGTCTAAGAGTGGCCCCCAAAAAATGACAAAACTCTCCAAAATTTAAAGATGAATTGAGGCCCCCGTCAAAGACTACGTATATCTCGAGACCATGAATCCCAAAGAAGTGATCAAAGACAGCACCTGCAGTCTCTCTGGCAAAGAGTAATTTCGGCAAAGTGATAAATTAAGTTGCTTTCGAAAACTGGTCGAAATGACCATTTTCCATTAGAGAGTGGGAAACCTGTGACAAAGTGCAATATAGAACCAGGGTCTTGAAGACACTGACAGCATCTGAAAGAAGTCCTGATACAGGTGAATGGAAGTTTCTGAAATGACGCAAATAAAGCAAGCCAAAAACAAACCCATATGTCAAGACCCATATTTAGCCACCACAATTGTTTAATAAACAAAGTACAACTCAACCCTGGATGACAAGCCACCCTGGAGAAATGACCAGCTCTCTTTTGTGAATGTGGTAGTTGTGGTAGTTATGATAAGAGCGTTGGGTTAGGATGGCACCAACCCCTCACCTCTGATGCATCAACCTCCACCACAAACTGCCAGGAAGGCTCAGGGGCAATGGAGATGAAACAGCTCAAACAAAGCAGCTTTTAGATTTAGAAAATGGAGCTTGTGCTGCACTTGACCGCCTGAATGGTGCCTTGGTGGAGCTTAAGGCAGTCAAACACATGGCTGGCTAGCTAAAATTGTGAATAAAATTCTGGCAAAAATTGGCAAAGCCCAGAAACCTCTGCAGTAATCTGGAGTTGGCCCATCTACCACTGCCTGAATGAGCATACCCTCAACTGACACAATTAGACACAGAAAGGGAACTGACTGCCTGGAAAACACATTTCCACAGTTTGACATAAAGACACAATATTCAAAGTTTCCTCTGGAGGTATTAAAAGTAAAAAAAAAGTATTGTTCTATTTATCACCCTCTCTTATCTGAAACAAATGATAAGAATCGCAGATATCCAATTTGTGAAAAAGGGCACCCCCTGCAGATACTCAAAGCGGGAATACATCTGTGGCAAAGGATAAATGTACTTCACTGTGATGATAGGGTACTAAACGTTTACTATTTTAGGTCCGTTAGGATTACCTAAATGATTTACATTTGCTAAATACAAGAATAATTAGATCATTTCTATTTTTTTTTTTATATAAATTTCTTTTTGGGTCTCCTTCCACAAGCTTCTCACAATAGTTTGAAGGAATTTTGGCCCATTCCTCCTGACAGAATTCGTTTAACTCTGTCAGATTTGTTGGCTGTCTTGCTCGCACAAGCTTTTTCAACTCTGCCCACACATTTTCTATAGTATTGAGATCAGGGCTTTGTGATGGCCACTTTAAAACATTAACTCTGTCGTCCTTAAGGCACATTTGAACTAATTTGGCAATATGCTTAGGCTCATGGTCTGTTTGGAAGACCCATTTGTGGCCAAGTTTTAATTTCCTGGCTGATGTCTTGAGATGTTGCTTCAGTATTTCTACACAATGTTCTTTCTTCATGATGCCATCTATGCTGTGAAGTGGACCAGTCCCTCCTGCAGCAAAACAGCCCCACAACATGATGCCCCCCCAACCCCCCATCCCCATACTTCACAGTTTGGATGGTGTTCCTAGGCTTGTAAGCTTTCCCCTTTGTTCTCCAAATTTAACACTGGTCATTATGGCCAAACAGTTCAATCTTAGGTCCATCAGACCACAGGACATGTCTCCAAAAATTATTATTTTATCCCAGTGTAACTTAGCAAATTGTAATCTGGCTTTTTTGTTGATTCTGGCTTGTTGATTTTCCCATGTTGTCAGACAAGGACGCATTGTGTTTTAGGTTTTCCTTAAATACTTTTCCACAGTTGTGCCTTCAATTAATTCAAATGTTGTCAATTAGCCAATCAGAAACTTCCAAAACCTTGAAACCATCTTCTGAGCATTTTCAGAGGCATAATTATCACAGATTCAACAAGGTACTGGAAATATTCCTCAGAGATTTTGCTCCAAATTGACATGATAGCATCACGCAGTTACTGCAGACTTGTCGACTGCACATCCATGATGCGAATCTCCCATTCCACCACATCTCAAAGGTGCTCTATTGGATTGAAGTCCGGTGACTTTGAAGGCCATTTGAGTACAGTGAACTCATTGTCATGTTCAAGAAACCATCCGGAGATGATTTACATTTTTTACATGGCACGTTATCCTGCTGGAAGTAGCCATCAGAAGATGGGCACACTGTGGTCATAAAGGGATGGACATGGTCAGCAACAATACTCAGGTAGGCTGAGGTGTTGACACAACGCTTAATTGGTTGTAATGGGCCCAAAATGTGCCAAGAAAATATCCCCCACACCATTACACCACCAGCAGCAGCCTGAATTGCTGATACAAGGCAAGATGGATTCATGCTTTTATGTTGACACCAAATTCCGACCCTACCATCCGAACGTCGTGAGACTCATCAGACCAGGCAACGTTTCTCCAATCTTCGCCTCAAGGTTGGACGTGTTGTGCGTTCAGAGATGCTCTTCTGCAGACCTCGGTTGTAACGAGTGCTTATTTGAGTTACTGTTGCATCTCTATAAGCTGAAACCAGTCTGGTCATTCTGGTCTGACCTCTGGCATCAACAAGGTATTAGCACCCACAGAACTGCCGCTCCCTGGATATTTTCTCTTTTTCAGACCATTCTCTGTAAACTCTAGAGATGCTTGTGACTATTGCGAGACTTGAATATGCACTTCGTCATGAGCGTCATGTTTGTGTACAAAGGTTTAAATAAGGTGTTGTACCTGGACCATAATCTATAAAATGGTGTGATTCAGGGAATTCTGGTGTGGAGAAGTAAACGCTGCTCTCAGAATCACTCTCCATCTCCTCAGTGTGTGTGGATTTGCATTGCTGGTGAGCAAAATATCTGTTTTTATGCATTTAATTAATCTCCCATTTTCACATTTCCCAATTTCCACATTTGTCACTCTCACATTAACACAGCTGGAAACAGCTCCAAGCTATTTTTTTTTTTAATCAGAGGTGTGAAAACTTCCCGCTGAGACCGGGGAGGTCTCATGAGCCCTTAAGTTACCTTTAAACAGGACCGAGCAGTGACCTCCAAATTGAGATTTTAGGGTGGTCTTTAATTTCGAACTCTTTCATACTAACTGTGAAATTTGCATCTTATTTCAGGTGTTACTCTGTGGAACAAGAAATCCATAAATGACAATTTGGACTCCCATCCTCAGCCCAGGACCGATTTGAAGGTCTGCGGCTCTGATTCCTTATCTGATAAGTGTAATTTAATGGATATAAGTGCTTCCCTGAAAGCCAGCTTCTTTGGCGGGCTGGTGGAAGTGGGAGGATCTGCCAAATACCTGCATGACACCAAAACCTCAAACCAACAGTCAAGAGTAACAATGTATTACAGTGAAACAACCAGATTTGACCAGCTCATCATCAGTCAGCTGCAGGATTTCACCTACCAGCAAGTGTTTAAGCAGAAAACTGCAACTCATGTGATCACGGCTGTACTGTACGGAGCCCAGGCATTCATGGTGTTCGACAGGACATTATCAACAAATGAGAATACCCAGGAGATTAATGGAGAATTAGATGTAATGATCAAAAAGTTCCCCTCATTTTCCATTGAGGGAAAAGGATCTGTAGAGATGACAGACAGTGACAAGAACAAAGCCGAGAAGATATCCTGCACTTTTCATGGGGACTTCCATCTTGAGCAAAACCCCACCTCATACATGGAGGCGCTGGATACATACCAGAAGCTGCCCACACTGCTGAAGGAGAATCCCCAGAATGCAGTTCCAATTAAAGTCTGGCTATATCCCCTTCATCTACTAAATGATAACGTAGCCAAGCTGGAGAGAGAAATCCGCTCAAGTCTAGTTTCCAACACTGTAGAAATAATTGAGAAACTGAATGAAGTCAACAGGGTTTCCTGTGACCTGTCCAAAAATACCCTCACAAATGATTTCAGTGACATCCAAGAGAGGCTTTGCTCATTTAAGGAGTCAGTTGGCATCTACAAGACGGTGTTCCAGAAAGCAGTGGCCAGGGTCTTGCCTGATATTCGAGGGGGGGTAAAGGAGGAGGAATCCCTTGCAGATATCCTGAAGATCCACCATGACTCCCCTTTTAATGCAGAGAAGCTTAACCAGTGGTTAAAGGATGCAAATTCTGAACTTAACCTCCTGAGCTCATATCTCAAGACGCTTGATAAGATCAAACTTGAAGATTCAGATGGTCTCAACACTATCCTTCTTGATCCTGATATCGATGTTGTGGTTTGCTTGACCATCACATCTTTGAGCTATGAAGACCCTGATCTCGAAAAACAGCAGGAGTTTCTGAAATCTGACCAGTTTAAACAGTTAGATAAAGTAAACTACCTTAAAGCAGTGGAACCTGTCAGAAAGTGGTTTAACAATCCTGATGCCATCAGACAGATGAGACAGAGCTTAACTCAATTTAAGGGGTTTTCAGAGGCTAATAAAGATGATAAGAGAATGCGCTTCATTGTTTCTGCCATCTCAGACAGCTCCAATCCAGTCTCTTCCATCTATCTGTATGAAAAAGGAGAACTGAAAGACACAAAGTTCCAGTTGCCATCCAAACCGCCTCCACCAATAGTGAAGGATGTCCAGGACAAAACTGTGTCCCTGAAACTGCAGAACCCTTGGACTGGAGAAACAGTGAAGTACAGAGTCGAGTACAAGGAGTCAAACGCTGATTCTGCTGCTGAAGAGAATTGGCTTGTCATAGACACACGTGATAAAGACTTTACTCTGAATGAATTGGAGCCTGAAAAGTCCTACTTGATCCGCTACAGGACAGTGAGTAAAGTGGGAGTGAGTGAAGCCAGTGACACTGTCAGCACAGACAAATCTTCAGGTAAGTGTCCATCTTTTTTTATACATAGTCCTTTTCTTTTCATTTGCTTTGTTCACACAGTTGGTCATTGAGATTGACGGTGGTTGTAAATATCAGATTTAAAGCTGACTGTCCACAGCATACAGTATTCAGGCTTCTAATATCTGAAAACAGTCCAAACAATATTCTGTTCTAGCGCAAATGTCACCACTAACTAGTCACAGTGACTTTCGTAAGTGTAATAAATGATGATTTCCTAACACTGGAATGTTTCATCACTGTTAGCGTGTTCGTAAGTTAACAGCACTTTCTTTTAACCATAATAAAAACTCTAAAGTGTCAATGGCCACTATATTCTGCTGCTGTGTGAGCTTGATCATTTCATTTTTTTTAAAGCTAAATTTAGGCCTGTTGGTGGGAACAGCGGAGCAGAGTTCGACTTTATAGCATCTTCTGGCAGCATTTTCTTGAAGGAAATCAGCATCACTTTCTCTGAGGTGTGTAAAGATTGTTTCGTTCAAACTAATTATTTTTGATTCTAATTATTTGTGGGGAGATTTACTAACAGCATTTGCCAGAGCAAACTCCGCTTAGGAGAAAAAAAGACTTTATTATTATTAGGGTTGGGTATTTATTTATTTTTTTACGATACCGGTGCCAAATCGATACTTTTAAAACGATACCGGTGCCAAAACGGTGCCTCAGTCGATACTTTTTAGCCACAAAATGATGGTGGATACCTCTACAAAAATATTTTATTTGATAAAATATTTTTAAAAAATCATTTTAATAGAACAATATAATTACAGTTTAATGTAAACATCAGTTCATATTGTATTACATTAATACATTTCCTTTGATCATTTGTTGGTTAGCATGAATTTAAGACTTGCATTATGAAATTACATTAGCTTACTATTAACCTGTGGGGGGCGGGCAGGGGCCACGTACGTTTACATTTACATTTATCCATTTAGCAGACGCTTTTATCCAAAGCGACTTACAAATGAGGACAAGGAAGCAATTTACACAACTATAAGAGCAACAATGAATAAGTGCTATAGGCAAGTTTCAGGTCTGTAAAGTCTAAGAAGGAAAGCATTAGTATTTTTATTTATTTATAAAAAAATTTGGGAGTACAGTTAGTGGTATAGCCAGAGAGGCAATTGCAGATTAGGAAGGGAAGTGGAGACTAAATAGTTGAGTTTTTAGTCGTTTCTTGAAGACAGCGAGTGACTCTGTCGTTCTGATGCAGTTAGGGAGTTCATTCCACCAACTGGGCAGATTGAATGCGAGAGTTCGGGAAAGTGATTTCTTCCCTCTTTGGGATGGAACCACGAGGCGACGTTCATTCACTGAATGCAAGTTTCTGGAGGGCACATACATCTGCAGAAGTGAGAGCTGATAAGAAGGAGCAAAGCCAGAAGTCGCTTTGTAGGCAAACATCAGAGCTTTGAATTTGATGCGAGCAGCAACTGGCAGCCAGTGCAAACGGATGAGCAGCGGAGTGACATGTGCTCTTTTAGGTTCATTAAAGACCACTGGTGCTGCTGCGTTCTGGAGCAGCTGAAGAGGCTTGATAGAGTCAGCTGGCAGCCCCGCTAGTAGAGAGTTGCAGTAATCCAGTTTAGAGAGAACAAGAGCTTGAACAAGGAGTTGAGCTGCATGTTCAGATAGGAAGGGTCGGACTTTTCTGATGTTATAGAGTGCGAATCTGCAGGATCGAGCAGTTCTAGAGATCTGGTCAGAGAAGTTTAGTTGGTCATCAATCGTTACTCCAAGGCTTTTCACCATTTTGGATGCAGTAATGGTTGCCCCATCCATCTGGATTGAAAAGTTAGGGTGTAGAGTCGGGTTGGCAGAAACTTCAAGCATTTCAGTTTTTGCGAGGTTCAGCTGAAGATGATGATCTTTCATCCAGTGTGAAATGTCCGACAGGCAGGCTGAGATGCGAGCTGGAACCGAGGGATCATCAGGATGAAAAGAGAGAGAGAGCACATTTTAGTTTAGAAGCACATTTTAACATAAATATCATAAAATACTTAAAACATTATTCAAAGCCATTTGTTTTCATGCATCACTTTGCAGTCTTCATAAACAAGATAATTAAATAACTTAAACTCAAAATAATCTTCCTTGTTCATTTATTTGACAAGTAACGTTATACTGGTGTAGGAGAACACATCTCTAACATTCAAGTACATCAGGGCACATTGCTGCACCTGTAAACTTTAACAGGCCTACAGTTGAAGTCAATGTATTTTGCCCTCCCATTTTTAGTGTTTTTTAAAATGTTTAACATTTTTAGTGTTTCCTAAAAAATATATTATTTTGGAGTCATAATAAGTCGTATTTCTAATTGTTTATTTCGTGAATAAAAGCCGTTTTTAATTTAAATTAAAATAAGGTCAGGATTATTAGCCTCCTTAAGAAATATTTACTATATATTTTTGATTTACACAACAAATCAGTTGCAAAATCATTTGACTAATTATTTTAACTTTCGTAATTAACTGATTAAGTCTAAATTACACTTTAATCTGAATAAAAAACTATAAAATACTTAAAGGGACTTTGTCTGAATACAGCTGTCTTGCAAAATAACTAGTGAAATGTTCTGCACTGACTGTCAGCATGGGGAAGATAAAAAAGTAGATATTAGAAATGAGTCAGTTAAAGTATTGTGTTTAAAAATGTGTTGTACATAAATCCTGTGTTGAAGACGGAAATCAAAAATGAATAAGGGCAAAACTAAAACGAGTTGAATACGATTTACATGAGCGTGACTGAAGACTACATTTGATCAATGTCTTACATCTGTTCTGTGGTACTTTGTTAATTCAAGACTGCATTTCCTAACGTGAAACTATGTACACTAGATTTCTGATTAATAATGGTCTCTGCATAGCCGAGGACTTCCTATATTAACAGTGTTAAAATCGCTACTGAAAACCGAAGTCTAATATCATCAACAGTGGACATTTTGATAGTGTTTCACAACATAATCATGACTGAAGTTGAATCTTTTTATTACCTGAGTCAATTTGGGCGTCAACTTCTGACAAATGCGGGGAACTGATGCGCGCAGCACCATCACAGAGAGAGCCAAAACAGTGGGAGCGACACCTAAAGCACGCGAGAGAGGCTCTGCCTTTGAGCCCTCAAATGTGTCATTAAGTTTAATGTTTCCCCCTCACAGGCAACTTTTGTAAAGACAGTTGCTGTGTCAGAATCCTTGCTTGTAAAATACGCTTTAGAATGCTTAGTTTAAGCAAATTGTATGAAAGTGATCACGCGCCGTGATCTGAAGAGCGTCGCTTTGCTTTCGCTTACCGAAAACCAGGCTGAATGCGATGTACTGCGTGCGTTGCGTGCGTCTGTTCCCTAGCGACAATAACAAACGCCTGATAATGCCTGTCCGTATTCCTTAAAGTTGTTTAGTATTAAATGTTTAGTGACGCTGTGACACAACGCGTGTGCCTTTTCTCATGCACCCCTTTGATGCTGCTTACGTTTTTGCTGCAGCACCGAAATTAGGCACCGAAATTCATACGCTGATTTAATACCGGTTACCAAGGGTTTCGGTACCCAACCCTAATTAAAACAGGATTTTCTAAAGGCACAATGAGAAAAGTTTTGCAATAAAAAGATGCCTTTGTTGCAATTGAATAATTGCTGCTGTTTCTTAGTTAGAGAGCCCCTATTATGCATTATTAAAAGGTCATAATTTGGTTTTGGGGGTCTCCAACAACAGGCTGATATGTTTAATGGAGGCCAGCTAGTAAGTGTTGTGCAGGTAAACCTCACTCCTCTGACATCTTTAGCCCCCTTGTTAGAGCAACCGACTCCCATGTGTAAGGTTGCCGGATCGATACCAGCTCGAAGCGGATTGGGTGGCGTAGGACTGGTGGGGTTATTTTGGTGGCGTGACCCAGATGGGAGTGAGGTTTAGGGCGGTGAGTGTAACGGAGGCCAGCTAGTAACGCTAGAGGCTTTGGTCTTTAGCCTCCTTGTTAGGGCAGCCGACTCCCCTGCGGAAGGTTGCCGGTTTGATACCAATTAAATATCCCAACGACTCCCTTATAATTTGTCCAGCGTTTCATTTATTCCCAAACCCCTTCTTAGCAGGATGCTCATCTGCGTTCAGCGTGAGCTTATCAACAAGTATTCAGAGTGCAGAGTGTATGTGTGAGCCCATTGCAGGGGTGCATTAAAACAACATAGTTTAACACTAGCATATTACTCTATCGTAACCATGACACACATTCAGTATTAATCCACATAGTGGCAAAAGCTGAACTCTTTCAAATCTTGTCCACAGCACTTGTGTAGGAACAGCTGATGGTGGCCATAGCAAAGACGAACGGCAGTAGATCGCGAGCTTACAAACACATTTATATCCGTAAAAAAATCGACTCGCGACGCGTTTTCAACATGGCATTAGACGCGATTTGAGAATATAAAGAGTTAACCAGATACAGTACAAGCCGTTACAAGTAACAAAACACAATTAAGCTCATCATTTGCAATCTAGAGAAAACAAGGAGGCAGCCATTTTAATCGCACTTACTTACTCTTGTGAAATGGAGGAAGAAACTGATCCATGAACTGAAGTTTCTGTCAAGCTCTGACAAAGTCCCAGTCTTTTCTGATCCTTCCTTAACAAACGGCCGACGAATTCCCCGTTGTAAGCGTGTAGGTTGCTAAAGCACCCATCAGAAAAATGACAGGAACAGCACAAGGCTGGGCTATAATGCTGAGGTGTTTTTGTAAAAATAAACCTCAACCACTGACTCTTTACAGTTTTATCTTTGGGTCGGAAAAATAACACTTTCCCTCACACGTCAGAGCACAGCATCTTTGCGACATGATTCAACTGGGATCTGCTACAGTGTCTGTCTTCTTTTTGTTGCTACAGTGTTTGTGGGCGGAGCCAGGGGTTTCAATTTGTGCTGGGCGGGGCTTGAGTTCTGTATCGACGTCACGCTGGCACAGCTAAAGACTCGTTACGAACCACTATGAGTCAGCTCTTTTATAGATGAATCAATAATTTTACACATGGCACACTTTCAGAATTAAGCTGTGTTACTGCATGGAAGGTCATTTTCAGCTCACATTCATTGTTTTGTTGTTGTCTTTCTCTTGTATTTGAAGTATTTCACATGTCATGCATTTGTGTGTTTTAGACGTCTGTGAACTCCATCCAAGTGACTTTCAGCTGTGGCAACAAGATGAATATCGGAAACGAAGAGGGACCAAATAAAATACACTATGCATTTGACGACAGTAAAAAAATTGTCGCTGCAACATTGTGGCCGAATAAAGATCAAAGCAAACTTGGGGGTTTGGAATTTGAGTTTGATAAAGAGAATACGATTTCTTGTAAATGCGACCAACTGGGTGATGAGGTGAGTGTGGATGTGAAGTCAGGAACCTGTTATGGTATTACAGGCCGAAGTGACGGCAGTAAAATTATTGCACTGGGTCTCTACTTCATTTAGACCCAGTTATAAATCTACTACACACATCTACATTAATCAATC